AATCAGGGTTTCTGGCAAATGAGGCAGGGTTTTGAAAAGTTTTAGTCAGGGTTATGGGGGGTGAGTCGGGTTATGACAGTGAGTCAGGGTTACTGACAGTGAGTCAGGGTTTTCTGCAGTGAGTCAGGGTTACGGCAGTGAGTCAGGGGGTTTCTTACCCTGGTCAGGGTTTCTGACCGTGAGGGCAGGGTTACTTTTCCCCGTGAGTCCCGGGTTATGACAGTTGGGGTCGGGGTTTCTGGGGGGTGAGTCCCGGGTTTTCTGGCAGTGGGTCAGGGTTTCTGGCAGGGAGTCAGGGTTTCTGGCAGTGAGTCAGGGTTTCCCGGGGGGAAAGATCAGGGTTAAAGGCAGTGAGAGGGTTACTGGCAGTGAGTAGGGGGTTTCTGGCAGTGGGGGCGGGTTACTGGCATGAGCAGGGTTATGGCAGGAGTAGGGGTTTCTGGCAGTGAAATCAGGGTTACTGGCAGTAGTCAGGGTTACTGGCGTGAGTCAGGGTTTACTGGCAGTGATTTAGGGTTAATGGGGGTGGGTTTGGGGTTTTGGCAGTGGGGGTCAGGGTTTCTGGGAGTTTAAATCAGGGTTCCCGGCGTGAGGGCGGGTTCTGGGGGGTAGGGTTTCGGCGGGAGTCGGGGTTACTGGAAAAAGGGGGTCGGGTTCCGGGCCCGGGGTTTTAGGGTTAGGCGTGAGTCAGGGTTACTGACAGTGGTCAGGGTTACTGCAAATGGTTTAGGGTTTTTCTGACAGTTTAGTCAGGGGGAACTGGGCAGTGAGGCAGGGGGTTTTGACAGTGAGTCGGGGTTTTCAGTTGGGGGGTCAGGGGTTTTCTGGCAGTGAGTCAGGGGTTTCTGGCAGGGGGTCAGGGTTTTGACCGTGAGTCAGGGTTTTCTGGAGTGGGGTTGGGGTTTTCTGGCAGTTTAGTCAGGGTTACTTTGGGAGTGGTCAGGGTTTTTGGGTTCCCGGGTTTTAGGGAAGGGGCAGGGTTACTGGCAGTGAGTCAGGGTTATGGCAGTGAGTCAGGGGTTTTGGAATTTAGTAAGGGGTTTTTTTTACAGTGAGTCAGGGTTATTTGGGAGTGGGTCGGGGTTACTGGCAGTGAGTCAGGGTTTTTGGCAGTGGGCAGGGTTTCTGGCAGGGGGTCAGGGTACTGGAAATTTAGTCAGGGTTATGGCAGTGAGTCAGGGGTTTCTGGCGTGGGGGTCAGGGGGTTTTGGCCGGGAGTCCCGGGTTTTCTGGCAGTGAGTCAGGGTTTTTGGGGAGTGAGTCGGGGTTTCTGGGGAGTGAGTCAGGGTTAATGGCAGGGAGTAGGGTTTTCTGGGGAGTGAGTCAGGGTTTTTGGCCCGGGAGTCAGGGTTTTCTGACAGTGAGTCAGGGTTACTGACAGTGAGTCGGGGGGTTTTCTGACAGGGGGAGTCAGGGGTTTCTGAAGTGGGGTTGGGGTTAATGACAGTGAGTCAAAAGGGGTTTTGACAGTGAGTCAGGGTTTTTTTTACGTGGTCGGGTTATGACAGTGAGTCCCGGGGTTTACTGGCGGGAGTCGGGGGTTTTTTGGAAGTGAGTCGGGGGTTTCTTTAAATGAGTCAGGGTTATGGCAGTGAGTCAGGGGGTTTTGGCAGTGAGTCGGGGGTTTCTGGCAGGATCAGGGTTTTCTGGCAGGAGTTTAGGGGGTTTTTTTGGGAGGGCAGGGGTTTCTGGCAAGTGAGTAGGGTTTTTGGCAGTGGGTCAGGGTTTAAATGGGGAGGAGTCAGGGTTTTCAAAAAAAAAACCGGGATGGGAGGAGTCAGGGTTTTGGGGAGTGGTCAGGGTTTTCTGGCAGTGGGTAAGGGGTTTTCGGCGGGAGGTTTAGGGTTACTGCGTGAGTCAGGGTTACTGGGAGTGAAATCGGGTTTTTGGCAGTGAGTCAGGGTTATGGCGGTTTAGTCGGGTTTTCTGGCCAAATGAGTCAGGGGTTTTGGCTGTGAGTCAGGGTTTTCTGGGAGGAGTAGGGGTTTTCTGGGCAGTGAGTCAGGGGGTTTCTTTTGGGAAAGTTTGGGGTTTGGATGGGCAGGGTTACTGGCAGTGGTCAAAGGGGAAATGGCAGTGAGTCAGGGTTAATGGCCGTGAGTCAGGGTTATGGCAGTGAAATCCCGGGGGTTTCTGACGTGAGTAGGGTTTTCTGACAGTGGGGGTCGGGTTTTTGGCGTGGTCAGGGGGTTTCTGGCAGGAGTCAGGGGTTTTCTGACGTGAGGCAGGGTTACTGGCAGTGAGTCAGGGTTAGGCAGTGAGTTTAGGGGTTTCTGGCAGTGGGGTTTAGGGTTATGGCAGTGAGTCGGGTTACTGGACAAATGGGGTCAGGGTTAAATGGCAGGGAGTAAAGGGTTAGGGGAGTGGTCAGGGGTTAATGGCCCGGAGGGCAGGGTTACTGGCAGGAGTCAGGGGGGCTGGCAGTGAGTCAGGGGTTTCTGGTAAGAAAAAATAGGTTTTCTGGGAATAGAGGGTTATAATAATTAATTATCATATATTATATATAATTTATTTAAAAATAAATTTTTTAAGGCGTGGGGTTTCAGGGTTCTTTGGGAAATAGCAAGGGTTCTCTTGGCCCTTAGGCAAATGAAAATTTGGTGTGCTAATTTCGGCCCAAAAAAAAGGGAAATCGAAAACAAAATTTTTTTCAGTGAGTTTTTATTTTCAAATTTAAATTTTATTTTTTTGGGTTTTGGCAAAAAAAAGGGGTTTTTTTTTTTTAATAAGGGGTTTTGGAAATTTTCCAAGGGGGAGGCAAAAAAATTTTTTACTTTCCAAAAAAATAAATTACTTTAAAAATTGAGTTTTTGGGGTTTTTTTAATTTTTTAAAAGGGTTTTTTGGGAATGACCCGTTTTACTACAGGAGCCTTTTTTTAAATTTTTATATTATATGTAATAATTTTTTATATTTTTTTTATTTATATATTATAATAATTATTTATATATTTTTTAATAATATTTTTTAAAAGAGTTCCCCTTTTGGAAAAAAAAGAAGGGGGAATGGAATGGGGGGTTAAAATTCCAAAATTTTTTAAAAAAAATTTTTCAAACAAAAATTATAGGAATATTTCATATATATTAATTAAAATTATTTTAAAATAAATAATTTTTAAAAAATGGAATATTTAAAAGGGGTGCCCCCAAAAAGGAAAAACTTCCCAATTTTTTGGTTTAGCCGTTTTTGCCTAAACAATAAAAAGGTATTTCAAAAATTTTCCGCCAAAGCTTTTTGAACTAAAGAAAAAAAAATTTTATTTCACCCTTTTGTTTTGGGATTTATGGGTTTTTAAATTTTAAAAATTTTTAAATTAATTTTTGGGGGGTTTGGGGGGAAATAAAAGCCCCTTTTTTTATTAATTTTAATTTTTTAAATTCTTTTTTAAAATTAATTTTTTAATTAAATTTAAAAACCCATATATCCAAAAAATTTAAAATTTAAAAAAATTTTAGGGTTTTTATTTTTTAAATTATTCTTTTTTCAACGAAATTTTTGGAACTTTTAGGGACCGGGGCGTTAATTTTTTATAAAGATATTTTGGATAAAATTTAAAATTTTTTTTTTTAAGAAAAGATTTATAATATATAGAAAATTTAAAAAGACTTATTTTAAATGAGTTCTGCTAATGACAGTTTACATATTCGCAGAATATATATAATGAATGAGGGAATACATCAATATAAATTAGTATACACCATTTTGCATCAATATATATGAGTTTACATAAGTGTACATCAATATACATTATATTCATTAATATACATCAATAAACATCAGTAGACATCAATAACCATCAGGTAGGAAGACCCCCAAAGAAGAAAATACATTCACCATCTCTCAGTGTTTAGCTGTGTGTGCCTGACCAACACACTCAACAAAGGCTCTGCTGCACACCAACATCCTCACTCATCCTGCACAGTATGTACTTTATTGAAGCCACGAGGAAGGGGGGCGAAACGTTTCCATTTTAATGTTATCTTCGTCATTTCTACCTCGTGTGTGTGTGTGTGTATGTGTATGTTTGTGTGTACATTGAGAGAGACCATTCGGTGTATATACACTAAGACACGGGTCTTGGGGTATATATAAACAAGCCCTTGTATATATATATTATATATATATTATATATATATATATATATATATATATATATATATATATATAATATATATATATATATATATAAATCCCTTGGTATATATACACAGAAATATAATATTAAGTATATATATTTAATATCGCTGCATTCGTTCCATTTCCTGTTAAATTATTCTTTTTTGCAACGTTAGTTTGTTGCGAGTAAGCTTGTTGCATGCAGTCCAGGCACTGCTTAGTGCTTGCCATCACAAGCCACTCCACCACTTCCTCGGATCAAACCTTTAAAACCTCCCCGGTTCTTGGTCTTTTTGACAGCAACAATTTAATACACAAACTTTGATTAAGGCGAAGCCTGGTCTCAGACCGGCCCGCGGGGGCGTTGCCCCCCCCGCGGCCCTCTGAAAGGTATACTCCAGGTATACTTCCTCTAGCCCTCCTCACCACCACCCTCACAAGCATATTAAACAGTCTGCATGCCTTATCCTGCAGCAGTGTATGACTTTTGTGGGTTTTGTATTTGGGTATAAGAACATAAGAAAGGGGGACACTGCAGGAGGCCTGCTGGCCCATACAAGACAGATACTTATCAAAACCACCTATGTATGTGTCCGACCTTTTCCTAAGGCTACCCAAGAATTTGCTTCCTTATCCCAAATACCAATTAAACACATATATAGCATCTGGGTATCTTTATTTCCTGTGCTCCACTGGATGGCGAAACGTCTATAATAAAGATACCCAGATGTTTCACATGTGTCTTGATTTTCAGCATTCAAACCCAGGTCCTCCCAGTCATATATCTGTCCAATCTCTTTTTAAAACTGCACAGCCTTAGTTCCATCCCACTATTACAACATAACGTAGTGGTTTGACCAGACTGTCTTGGTTTCTCTCCCGCAGCTGCGTCAGGGCACACCCGCAGCACTATCTACAATACCTCCACCAGAGACAGGAAGACCGTCGGTGTCTTACTGCAGGTGAGGAACACCAGGGAGGAGGGGGGTGAGGAACACCAGGGAGGAGGCAGGGTGAGGAACACCAGGGAGGAGGGGGGTGAGGAACACCAGGGAGGAGGGGGGTGAGGAACACCAGGGAGGAGGCAGGGTGAGGAACACCAGGGAGGAGGGGGGTGAGGAACCCCCAGGAGGAGGGGGTGAGGAACACCAGGGAGGAGGCAGGGTGAGGAACACCAGGGAGGAGGGGGGGGTGAGGAACACCAGGGAGGAGGCAGGGTGAGGAACACCAGGGAGGAGGCAGGGTGAGGAACACCAGGGAGGAGGGAGGGTGAGGAACACCAGGGAGGAGGCAGGGTGAGGAACACCAGGGAGGAGGGGGGTGAGGAACACCAGGGAGGAAGGGTGGAGGCAGGGTGAGGAAACACCAGGGAGGAGGCAGGGTGAGGAACCCCCAGGGGGGGAGGTGGTGAGGAACACCAGGGAGGAGGCAGGGTGAGGAACACCAGGGAGGAGGAGGGTGAGGAACACCAGGGAGGAGGCAGGGTGAGGAACACCAGGGGGGAGGGGAGGGTGAGGGGAAAACCAGGGAGGAGGGGGTGAGGAACACCAGGGAGGAAGCGGGGTGAGGAACACCAGGGAGGAGGCAGGGTGAGGAACCCCGGGGGGGCAGGGTGAGGAACCCCAGGAGGAGGCGGGTGGGGAAAAACAAAGGGGAGGGGGGGTAGGAAACACCAGGGGGAAGCAGGGGAGGAACACCGGGAGGAGGCAGGGTGAGGAACACCGGGGGAGGAGGCGGGTGGGGAAACACCAGGGGGAGGCGGGGGTGGGAAACCGGGAGGGGGGGGGGTGAAAAACCCGGGGGGGGGGGGGTGGGGAACCCAGGGGGGAGGGGGGTGGGAAAAATCAGGGGGGGAGGCAGGGTGAGGAACCGGGGGGAGGCGGGTGAGGAACCGGGGGGGGAGGGGGGGGGGGAAAAAAACACCGGGGAGGAGGCAGGGTGGGGAAAAACACCAGGGGGGCGGGGGGTGGGGAACACCGGGGAGGAGGGGAGTGGGAACCCCCGGGGAGGAAGCGGGGTGAGGAAAACACCGGGGGAGGAGGGGGGGTGAGGAACCCAGGGGGAGGGGGGTGGGAACACAGGGGGGAAACGGGTGAGGAACACCGGGGGAGGAGGGGGGTGAGGAAACCCGGGGGAGGAGGGGGGGTGAGGAAAAACCGGGGAGGAAGGGGGTGGGGAACCGGGGGAGGGGGCCGGGTGAGGAACACCAGGGAGGAGGGGGGTGGAGGAACACAGGGAGGAGGTGGGTGGGAACCCGGGAGGAGGCAGGGCGAGGAACACCAGGGAGGAGGGGGGGAGTGAGAAACACCGGGGAGGGGCGGGTGGAGGAAACACCGGGAGGAGGGAGGGTGGGGAAAAACACCAGGGGGGGGCAGGGTGGCCAACCAGGGGGAGGGGGGGTTGGGGAAAACACCAGGGAGGAGGGGGGGTGGGGAAAACCCAGGGAAGGAAGGGGGGGGTGAGGAACACCAGGGGGGGGGGGGGAGGAAACCAGGGAGGAGGCAAAGGTGGGGAACCCCAGGGAGGAAGGCAGGGTGAAAACACCATCCCTGATTTCGTGGTATTGAGGAAGAGGATGAGAAAGGGAGGAAAAAAAGGAATAGAGGAGGGAGATGGAGAAGAAGTGTACGGAAAGAAGCGGATGGTAGAGGTAGACTTGTTTTTTAGGATAGAGATAATAGGTGTGTGGGTGTGTGTGTGTGGTGTATGTGTACGCACCATATGTGGCTGCAGGGGGGGCGTTCCACACTCTTCCTTTGTGTTGTGTTTGGGGGTGTGTGTGTGTGGTGTGGTTTTGTGTGTGTGTGTGTATTGTGTATGTGTCGCACCTATATGTGGCTGCAGGGGTCGTTCCAAAAGCTTCTTTTCCCTTGTGTTGTGTGTTGTGGTGTTGTGGGGGTGTGTGGTGTGGGGTTTTGTGTGTGTGTATGTGTGTATGGTTTGCACCTATATGTGGTGCGGGGGGGCGTTTCCCCAGTTTCCTTGGGGGTGTGTGTGTGTGTGTGTGTGTGTGTGTGTGTGTGTGTGTGTGTGTGTGTGTGTGTGTGTGTGTGTGTGTGTGTGTGTGTGTGTATGTGTACGCACCTATATGTGGCTGCAGGGGTCGTTCCACAGCTCTTCCTTGTGTGTGTGTGTGTGTGTGTGTGTGTGTGTGTGTGTGTGTGTTGTGTGTATGTGTACGCACCTATATGTGGCTGCAGGGGTCGTTCCACAGCTCTTCTTGTGTGTGTGTGTGTGTGTGTGTGTGTGTGTGTGTGTGTGTGTGTGTGTGTGTGTGTGTGTGTGTGTGGTATGTGTGTATGTGTACGCACCTATATGTGGCTGCAGGGGTCGTTCCACAGCTCTTCCTTGTGTGTGTGTGTGTGTGTGTGTGTGTGTGTGTGTGTGTGTCAAGACGGCTCACTTTCTTAACATTAAACGAATTATTTTTTTGTAAAGTTTGCGTATATAGCAAATATCCATTAATAACACTAATTTTGGATTTTGGAAAATTCCCGGGTATATTAAATCAAGTCATGTGGCCATGACTGTCTAATTAACATGTCTTTGCTCTCTTTTGTCACATTTTGCGTTGACTTAAATATTTAAATAGTTCTCTGAGGGTTGCCTTTGATGTCAAAGAATTTCAACTTTCATTCTGGCGTCGACGGCGTCTAAAACTGGTTTGCGTTGTCTCTCAAATCGTAAATAGCGTTTAAAATTGGGTCGTATTCTCTCCGAAATCATTTACGATTCCGGAGAGAACACGAGAATTGGTCTGTGTTCTCTCTCAAAGCGTAAAAGAAAAACGTTTAAATAATGACCAGTACCAGCAGTAAAAAACGTTTAAATAATACCCAGTACCAGTACACCGGTAACGGGTTATACACCAAGACGGTCATTCTCTCACCATAACATACAATAACAAGCATTTTCCTAACTAACAATCCACCACCAAAAGAAAGTAAGAATAAAAAAGAAGACTGATAAAGCATACGAGCATAAAGCATATATTTATCAATGGGAAACAAGCTTAAAAATAGATCCCACACACACCTATAACTTAACCAGGTCGAAGCTGGTATCGTAAGTTAGGTTCAAAAATGATAATAATAATCTTTATTACTAGAAGTACATGATGCAACTTATACAGACCATAGTTGACATCAGTGATATACTATCATTGAAAGCCCCCCTGCTATTCAGGGCATTTCGGGCAACTTTAGTTAATTTTATCCCCAGGATGCGACCCATGCTAGTCGGCTAGCAGCCCGGTACCTACTGACAGCTAGGTGAAGATGGACAGCAGTCGCCTTAAGGAACACGTCCTAATGTTTCCAGCCGTACCGGGGATCGAACCACGGGCCTCGAGGTGTGAGCTGAGTGCACTACCAACCGATATACGGGGAACTGGCTACTGGAATCTCTCATTAGTTATGGATGCCAAGAGCGTACGTCATTTGTATTCACTGAACTATCGTGTTCAGTATCATGTTGAGCTGGTCAAGCAGGGGGACATCCACGAGTGTAAAGTGAAATCCAATCCTCTATAACCCTCATTTAATGAGATTTCTGATCTGTTTGAAGGATATCAGTGATGCTGGCAACACTATAAACGTTTGACGGACTGTTCCCCGTCAAATATGGCAAATAGAACGAGTTTGCCAGAACATTTTGAAGCGTAGTTGACCAGTTGGAAGAAATATAAGGGGAGAGTGAGTGATACGATCACTAGATATTTGAAAGAATTATGAGGATTAATGAGTGAAGAGAAGCCCAGAGCATATGTCTGCTCCTGTGCTGTAATTTCACACACAACACACACACACAACACACCACACCACACACACACAACACACACACAACCACACACACACACACACACACCACACACACACACACACACACACACACAACAAACACACACACACGCACCACACACTCAGCAAATCTTCTGCACATCCAAAATAAAAATAATGTCCTCTCCATCTTCACACCAATTTCCTGACTTGATCATTACTTCAGATCAAGAGAACCTAGAGAAAAGAGCCTCTCTCCACTGTCACCCATCTCCACCAACACTATCACCAACACCATCACCACACCACCACACACTACCACTATCACACCACACCACCAACACTACCACTACACACACCACACCAACGCTACACCACTATCACACACCGCAAATTAAATAAATAAACTAACACTGGCCATATATAGCCAAATTTAGCTAAACAAGAATACGATAGTTATGTAGATTCAGGAGATTTCTAAGTTAAGTTTTCACAACAAAAAACATTACCACCATGGGCCATGAAGGCACTACGACCTGAGGCACCACGTACCATGAAGGCCACGGTACACACTAAGGCCTACACTACCATAAGCCCACGGTACCATGCATCTCGCCTCATATAATAAATTATATGTTCCCTCTCCATCTTCCACCCAATTTCTCTGACCTTGATTCATTACTTCATGATCAAGAGAACCTAGAGGGAAGAAGAGCCTCTCTTCCACTGTCACCATCTCCACCAACACTATCACCAACACCATCACCACCACCAACACTACCACTATCACCACCACCAACACTACCACTATCACCACCACCAACGCTACCACTATCACCACCGCAATATTAAATAAATTTAAACTAACCTGTGCCATATATAGCAGAATTTAGCTAAACAGAATTACGATAGTTATGGTAGATTAGGTGAGATTTCTAAGTTAAGTTTTGTCCAAAAATAAATACACCATGGGCATGAAGCATCGTACCTGAGGCCATGGTACCATGAAGGCCTACGGTACCATGAAGGCCTACGGTACCATAAGGGCCCACGGTACCATGAGGGCCCACGGTACCATGACGGCCCACGGTACCATGAGGGCCCACGGTACCATGAGGGCCCACGGTACCATGAGGGCCCACGGTACCATGAGGGCTCATGGTGCCATATCTACCTACATACTT